AGCAATGTGTTGAATCGAAGAATGCGAAAAATTTGTCTGAATAGCATTTCTCAGTGTCTGTGTTCTCTGCATGCTTACCATCTTATTTTATTCATAATCATTTTTTTTCTGGTTTATTTTATTTTCTTCTCGCATTTGATTTGAGTTTGAGATTTGAACCCAAAATCCATTAGTTTCTAGTAAATGTGCATGAGATATTCACCGTCACCTGTATAACCCGATTTTATCTAAGAAATCCACACATTTCCAGTGAATTTTGAGTGATACAGCATAATAGTTCCCTCTAAATCATTCTCAATGGGATATGTGGATGCGGCAAAAAGCAAATGGAAAATGTCATTTAATATTTATCTCATTACTCAAGTATATATTATTGTGAATAACCATTGGTTTGTCCGTTTCACCATTTGTCACCAAGAATCTCAAAATCCAAGCCTGAGGTAAAAACGATTCTAGTCGCTTCCAGCTGTCTTAATATTTTAATAGACTTTCAAATATTAAAGCGTAATGCATGACAAGAACATATTTACCCAATACACTCAAATAAATTAGTTAAAATGATGTTGCTTCTGTTGGATGCCTGGTTACCATTGGAAAGGTGCAGTATTGCTTCTCCAGGGTAATCGACGCCACAACATCATTGCTTAATTTATAAATGAATGAAACAAATAACCACCAAAATAATCCAAGCCAGACCAAACGTATCCAAAATGAGAAGCGCTTATCTCTCATGTGTTGCCGTTTGCTGGCATGAATGTGGGTAACATGCGTAGCTTTCTTTGTTCTATATGAACGTATTTTATGTTTGATGCAATCCATTTACAAAGCAATTCACATCATCACAGGTGCACAAACAGACGCTCATTTATCGGGTCTGTTGGTTAATGGATTGATTACATGCGCTCTCAATTAAAATCGATATTACACTCAGTTTCATTAGAATAAGATAATGAATTGTGGTTTTACAAAGGCGCTTTTCAGCAAAAATAATCGCATTTTGGATACTTTAAATGGGATTTTAATATAAAACAATACAGATTATTTACATTTCATGCATGAATTTGTTAAGCACATACACCTTTTATTCTTCGTCTTCATCATCTTCTACGTTAAATTATTTCATTGAAAACGAATACATTACGGCATTTTGGATAATTTTCACCTATCTGTGCTTGTTTGAAGGCAAATACTCAAGAATTTTCAAAGGGTATTTCGTTTTGGGGTTTGGGACAACCGCAAACTTTATTCAAGCATGCTCATTGCAAGTCTAATGCTTGCCTCAAATGTAGCAGAATGATGAGTTCAAAGCATTTTAAACACAATTCACACTGCTTGCAATGATGACTGCATTAAAATATACTGAAATGCAGTGCGGTTTTCATCATGTAACCACTTTAAAATTGAAATGTATACTTCATACACCTTACATTTTTAGGAATTAAACACATTTGATGTGAATTTTTATCATACATACATATCGTAATCGAAAACTACGTAAAACTTTCGATGATTATTAGTTTGAAAATCAAATATACGATCGTCGATTTTTATGTGTTGGTTCCTTTTCATTTGAACATGAAAACCACCAAATAGAAATCAAAATACAGTAAAATTACGAAATACTGAAAACAAAACATCGAGATTCACTGAAAACTTTAATTATTGTGATTGAAGCACGTTACAGCACGTATAAATAGTAATTATAGAAATTGAACCTTCGAATAAAAGAAGAAACTTTGAATTCAGTAAAAGAAAGTTCCTTTCGTTGCCAATGGAAATGATTGATTTGAGTCTAAAAACCAAATATGAGATATGTTTTTAAAAAGACCTTTGACTTGTAAAAATTCTTTACTACACACAGTACGAATATGCTCATATTTCACAAGAAATTCACATGATTTCGATACGATTGGTAAAATCGAACATTCTTTACTATGATTGTTTGTGGAAGTTTATTCCTTCTCACTCGCAATAATAATTTACATTCTTTGTGTATGTGATTGAATGCACGAAAAAGCTTTGAAAATGATAGCTCAAGCAGTATGAAAACGGTTCAAAAATTAGAATTCAGGTTTTTATGAATGTAGAGCATTTTTTTCTTATTCATTTTTAGTTCTCATTACGGACATATGTATACATATGAATTGAGCGGCTCCTTTGAGACTCATTTTAATGCTTCATAAAAACAATTTTTTTTCTCGCTGCGCACAATAATTCGGTGTGTGGCAGGTTTTACCCTGAATTCGACTCAGAAGCTTCTTTATCATTTGAAGTTTTGCCATTTCGCATGTAATAAAACCCCACGTATGTTCTCAGTGTTATGAATTTCATTGAAAACGATTCCAATCGGTCTATTCTGAAAGTCCTTTTTTTACTATGCTCAAGCATATATACACTCCGTTGCCATCTTCACAGTCGGCACCGTTGCTACCACAACAAAAATCCACATGCGAAATGTTCGCATTTACCATCACTTTGGTAGATAATATTTTTTACGTTGCACTCTGTGCTTTCTGTTCGGTGATTATTCGACTTGTTAAAGTGTGCTACTTTATGAAATCAGTTAAAATGAAAAATGAAACGAAGCGAATGTGAATCATGCGAAGTTCAGCTTTTGCAAACGTAATTTTCTGTGATGAAATTTTTTTATTTTGTGATTTGTGATTGTGGTTCTCACAAACATTTCACATTTGTTTTACTCGGTTTTTAATAAAGCGTTACATTTTCAATTACATCTTTTCATCATGTGCACATTTTTGATTGAACACTTTGTCCTAATTTCATTTCGAACAAACATACGAATTTCACGAAATCCACAGCATTCATTTTGGTTTGTCTTCTTCTGTTGACGATCAAAGGATGCGATGCCTTATATCGCGATTTTTTATCAGCACAAACAAATGAATCTTCATATTTCCAACTTAGTATGATAAAAGACACAAACATACACACATAAATATATATTTTAATTTACTGCCTTTGTCATAAAATGAATAACGGCGCGCACAGAAACAGGAAGTTTATCCCGGTTCTCTTGTTTGATTCCGCTACGTCATATTTTCTCCCTTCCTTGCTATCTCTCTCCCTCTGTCTCTCTTTCTTCACGTTTACGATTCGGAACAAAATGCACGGCCCATTTGGTTTGTTTGCCATCATTTTTATGGCACATTTAAAAAGTCATGATGTGCAATTATTGCAGAAAAAAAAATTGATAAATGATAAACACCATCAAGGAAAAATGTGACTAGTCAAATATTGTATACATAAAGTTGAAGTAGATGCTCAAAAGTAAGAGCTGTGTGAGTACATGTGCGGGACGCGGGTGTTTCTGTATCCCTTATAAGGACATCGCGACAAATGCGCATTTTTCCAAAATGCGCGCGTGAAATATGTATATGACTTATGGCGGCAGATTGGCAATTTATGTTGTTATCATGCGTGTATCGTGTTGTACGCATTTGTGGCATCCAAATCGACGCTCATAAATTTTGAACTTATGACTCCTTTGTATATATGGCATTTTGAATGATGGGAAAGAAGCTTTTGGTAGCGCAAGTAAAAATTATATTGGTTTCAGATTGACTGGGCCGATAATGTTAGCGCGTGTGCACACACAAAGTATACAAAGCTCATTAAAATGCAATCATTCGTCGAATGACGACCATAAAATAATGTCGCCTGATTTGTATGCGTGTATGCATGAAGGTTTCTATTCACAAATGTGATTCAACATATTTTCATTACAGCCTTTGCCATCGATGGAATTCGGGCCGGAGAAGAAAAAAAGCCCCACATACTAATCATAAGAAAGTGAAAGTACCCATATAATTTCAAGGTCACATCGCATAATTTTCCGAAATTAATTTAGTGCCCAACTAAAGTCACCAGGCACAAAAAAAACGTGAGCAAAATCTAATCCACTTTTTTTTCGTATGCTGCACCAACATCTCATCTTAATTGATTCGGGCGTTTTCCAAATTTTTCTCATATGTAATAATGAATGGAATTGTTTTTGAGCAAAAAAGGAGCACAAACAACGTACCAACAGGATTTAACGTAATACACATTTATTTCGATTTCGGAGAATTGCTGCATACCCACATTGCCATGCAATCGCTTAATAAAAAGCTGTGGACAAACCACAATACAAACACGTTTTAGAATGTTTGAATTTCTTCATCGTTTTCTGCTTCGAATTTAAAATAAAAGTAAAACATATTTGCAGGCTCACAATTTCTCATTCTCCCCATCACAATTCGATGCCAACAAACGATACAAAATTCAACGCAAACCTGCTTTCAAGTTCAACAGAATTTGAAATATTTGGGCGCGCCAGCAAAAGTTCAAGTGGGATGGATTTGAAATTAAAAAAATTGTGCAAAGTACATACATGTATTCTTTTATTCAAGGAATATATTGGTCTGTGAGATGAGCATAAAGAAGGCGAACACACATGTGTTTAAAGTATTCAAAAGATTATGGGGGAATTGCTTTTGCGTTGGGGAAATTGCTTTTTTTTATCCAAGAATTAAAACTCCGGATGGGTAGTCAATTCTTGATCCACCTCCAATCGTTGCGTGGCGGGGCTGATTTACGTCATAACAAATGGCTGTGCAATTTTTGTTAATCAATTTTTAAAATTGGCTAACGTCAATATTTAGGATTGAACGCAGCCAATTAATCTGATCCGCAATTTTCTCGGTAATTTTTAACCAGTTTGATGAATTCGTTAACCCCTTTTTGTATTGGTTTTAGTTCTACAAATTAATGTAAACCATTTCATTATAAGCATTAGTAGAATTCGCCGTCTTCGTTGCAAAATACTTTGGTATGGAAGGCAGTCCGCGGGCTGTGAAATGTAATAGACTTTACAATTTATAGATTAGCTTAAGATTTTGTTTATATTTAAATTTAATTTGTGATACGTGAGATACATTGCTAGTTCAAACCGAATAAATGGTCTTTATCACTCAATTTTATATGAGCTTTAAATTTTCCAGGTTTCCCATTACTCGCATTTTGACCTAATAAAAGGGAGACTATAAATATACAACAGCCAAGATAAAAGGAGACAAAACATTGGCGGCATTGCGTCATTGGGTAAGTAAATTAGCTCACGGGCATTTTACATTCTTATTCGCTTTTTTCTCGTCTTCTTTTGCTCCTTTATTTTGTTATTTTGCACAATGAAAAGTGTTGTTGCCAAAGCGAGGAGGGAATCAAAATGCACGGAAGCACAGGTGTGTTTGTGTATGTATCACAAGATCAGTGGATAATATCTGTTCATGTGCCATGTTTTTCTTTCGCTCATACGGTCCCATTTTAATATTATGCGTATCCAACGGAATGGGACAATGTACGCGTCGCAATGGTATTAAAATGAGCACATGTAATATGTTGTAATGTCGACTTGTTGAGTAGATTCGCACAGTCTTACATTCGCTTGTCGTGATATCACAAGAAAAGAGCACAATAGAATGAAAATCACGAAAAAAATCTCGCACAAGTTGCGTTATGTCGTGCCAGTACATCGATTTTTTTCTGCTGTGATTCTCGGTTTTAACAATAGCGGAAAACAAAAACGAAAGAAACACCGAACCACCGCTGCATACTCACATGGGAGGGAAAGAAATGTTGTTTCAAAAGAAAAACCAAACAGATTTTTACGCATCAAACTGTTTGCGTATGTAAACGACAATTTAACAGTAATAAATGCGGGCGAGGGTATGTTATTTTTTGCCATCGTGAATATTTTATCCAATTCGTATTTTGGATTTGTTACCTGAATGAACGACAACAACTTCACGAACAATTTTGTTATGTACTGCAAACATTGTGACATGGCCACGTATGCGTTTCCTGTTTGCCATCGAGACTCGCATTAATAGCATATTATTGTCTTACATACGAAAACAAATGGCACTTATTTCAGAATATCGTGTAAATGAAATCTGACACAATCTTGTCGCCTGTACAAGTACCGTCTATGAATAGACCGACAGTTTTCTGTTGTCAACGTCAATTCGTACAGAGTTTTTTCACCGTTGAAATAACTTTTTGTGTTGTCGGATAAATTAATCAAGGCAATCACTTTTCATTGATATACTTTCTCTCTGGATGTGAATGAATGAGAAGAGTTGTATTATCAACATATAATGGACAATTTTGTTTCAAATTTAAATCGTTGACAAATGCATTTTATTGAAGCAATTTAAGAAGGTTATCGTTGAAGATTTGCTGTGATTCAAACCGCTTGCTAGCCCATAGATTAGGGTTGTGAATTTCGGTCGTAATTCCCTTTTGCGAAGATCGTAATGCGAACACATGTGTGCTGGGGAACGTTGATTCCCTGAACAAATTTGGCGCTGAAGACGAATATCGAAAAAAATAATGAACCGGAAGCATAAGCAAATACATTTGAATGCGTAATCGTATGCAGAAGAAATAACGGTTGCATATGTGTTCATAACATCAAATCGCCCATTTCTCACGAATATTTTTCCACCAAAATTACAATCGATCGAAATAGAATCACATTCATTTCAGCATTCTGTTTATGCAAACAATTCATAAAAAGCGTTTAAAATATATAAAATTCGATGCGAATCGGTTGCGGTGGATATTTTTTCTTTTGCTTTGGGAAACATTCCATTTTGCACAGTCATAGAATGAATTTTGTATGCGTCAGTAAATTTATGCGTAACTGATTGGATTTTTTCCTTCGTCTGGTGTTCCGCTTGAGGCGCCAAATCCGGCTGTTTTCAGACAGATGTCGGAAGCAACCGTAGATAACTTCTTCGGGGACATATACTCGATTTTGGCGAGAAAATGAAATGCACCGTTTTTGAGTTGCGGCGGTGACAAAGGATGAAAATCATGTATGCAGAAAATGGAATTATAAAATCGTTTGGCTGAAAGGCATTTTTGCATTCCGCATCATATTTTATTCGCGAATAAAGCCCATAATTGGATATAATTCAATAGTAAATCTTGAGCTTGCCAACGCTTCAAGTAAATAGCGATTTCGTTTTGCGCTCCACTAGCGTAGAAACATGCACACAAATTCGTCATCAAAAGCTATTTTTTACCTTACGTAATGGGAATAAAATTGTTGTTTTCAACAAAACCACACACACATCCAAGCCACTTGGACCACACGCCATACTGTTACCATGTTGTGATTGCCGAACGATTACATTCCACGAATTATGTATGAGATATTTTTATTTCTCTGTGAACAATCATGTTTAGAATTAAGCTTAAGGTGTTTATCTTGAAAATCATAGTACATTTTTGTGTGTATACGTGTTGTGGCAAATGCAACTTTATAAAAAAAAATGGCACTAGGTTTTGCTCTCATTCTCGATCACATGCTATAAAGTGAGGTAATAAATTTCTAAGCATGAGCTCTTTGAGTCTCCTGAAATATTCTGCCAAACTGCATTGGCCACAAAAAGCGATGACGACATCGAAAAGACTATCGACCGCCTGCCCCAGTAACGACAGAGAAAAAGTGAAAGAGGGAAATACAGACAGATAGAGACCGAGTGACGTGAATTGTTTTCTCATACACTTTGCAAGAATTTGTATACCATTTACAGCGCACCGCAACCCATACATACTCATTTCGTGTTCGGTTTTTATTTGCTCGCCTTTTTATTGGAGTGTGGCGTCGTTTTTTTTTGTGTATGGAAGAACGAAAGCGATATATAGCTCTACAAATTACACCAAATAGTCGGGAAATGATGTGAAATAGATTTGTGGGTTTTCTAAGAAAATTTTCTTGTGGTACAAGGAGCCTTTATCACTACCAACGAAGTCACCACCACCGCCGTCGCCTTTGATGTCCAAAACAACGACGGCAATGGCAAATAAACGAACCACTACAAAAATATATATAAACAAAAATTAAGGAGACCAGCTTTTGTCGAGAAAGCGAAGTTGCAGATTTTTGTTTAAATACATATTTTACGTAATTTATGAAATGAATTGAAGCTGAAGACAAACAAAATTCGCGCTCGCTTTCCAGCTCCATCATAAAAACGGTACATTGTTTGCAATGGCATCATGGCTTATTCGAGGAGGGGTTCGTTTTTTTTCGGTCTTTTATGCACACAAACTAAATTTAAATACTGTGTGGCCACTATAAGAATAACGAGAACAAATATCCACACAATGAAATTACTGTAATGGTAATAATCAGTTTTGGCTGCCAAAAGGACGACGCGAGTGAGTGAATCGAGCAGCGAGAGAGCGAGCATGAATTGTTGTTTCTATTTTTGTGATCGTCCTTGGCATGTACATGAATAGATTTAAATACTATTTTCAATGTAAATCTCCACGAACCAACCGAGTATTATAAGACATGCAATAAAGTTATTTGTAGCGGCGCCAACTTAAAATCGAGCAAAGACCCGTACCAGCAACACCACCAGTGGCATGGTGCACACATTTTTTGTTACGAATATTACCACTTATTTATTGTGTTTAACCACATTGACATTTGGAGCATTGTGCCAGGCGATCCATCCCATTTAAAATGCGATCAGAGCATAAAATGCATTGCCCTTTAGACGAACAGAGAGGCGGTAGATTTTGAAAAACAAACATGCCAGCACATAAATGTTGATTAAAATGAATAACAATCATAATTCCTGTGGCCGTAATATCACGCGATTTTATTTATTTTTCGGGGAAAAGCTTTAAAAGAGGGTGCAAGATTTACGGGCTGTTGACTGATTTGGCGACTTAAAATCGATTAGCGGACAAAAACATGCACCACAAACTAGAATCATTCAAATGTTAAATGAAGCCGTACTATTTCCGTCTAATTTATAGTGTTTTTGACATTTTCCATTAGCACATGGAAACAAAACAAGTCAAGAGAGATGTGAGGTGTTAGATTGTAACCACGCAATTAAGCGCGTCATAATTTAAATCAATTCAGCGAGAATGTCACAACAACACAGAAGGACAGAGAAAAATAGACGCTAACTAGCACAAGCTTTATGTATGAGTGTGTGTGTAGTGTATAGTTTGTGTTCGAATGAAATAGCTTTCATCGTGTGAGATTTCCATCGCATTAGATTGACTGATGGAATGGGATGGATGGCATATAAAATTGCAAACTAAATTGATAATCTCGTTTTAGCCAAGCGAACAAAGGCGATAAATGTGAATACACACGGTTCGATGAGAATATGAGAAAGTGTGCGAATGAACGCGAGCATGAACGCTCCCACTATTTATGCAGCAGTAAATTCTCTGATTGTGACAACAGACAAGAACTGGAAATAAACGAATGTGCAAATTGATCCTTATAAATATACATTTTCGGTCCCCGGCCATAAAGTTTGCCATTTCGTTAGCTGTTTTATGCTGAAATACGAAGACATAAGACATAATGAGCAAAGGAACCAAAGCAACCAACCGAACACGATTCTCGTGCGTTCACACATTCACCGACACACACAAACACACACCCCGTCAGTTTATTCAATGAACAGCGCATCGCGGCAATTCGAATGCAAATAATCTTTGAGTTTCAGTTCATTCGATGTGTACGGGCAAAACGACAAAGCTAAGCAATAAACACCGATACAAATGCGTTCAAGATTTGTTTAGTTTTTTTTCTCGTCTCTTATTCAGATGGTCTAAGTAAAACAACGGTCGTTGTTTAATGCAAACTATCACAAGTGCGAATGAAAAAAGTGGCAAGATGATACTGAAATAAAATCCAACTAACGTAATGCAAAGTGTAATGTACAACGAGCACAATACTAAAAGATTGTTTGTTACGATTTTGCATTGGATTAACGATACTGGTGCCGTTAGCATTCGTGGTGTCTTTTTTTTTGTGTCGTAAGGTAGTTGTCGTGCAAGTGCAAAATTAAATGGTAAATTGCAAGTTCTTCGAGGCAAGCGGTAAGCTCAAAACAAACAAAACTGAATGAAATACAAAAAAAGTGCGAATGAATTGACACAACACCTTATTTTCTTTCATTAACCGATGCCATTAGTTGAGTCATTGTGCACAATGTACACCTTTTTTTTCATTTTGGTCGTTGAATTAGACTGGCATCCGATAATGTGATGTTGTG